CAAATACATTCGACTCTCATCACTTATGTTCTTGTTCACTAAAGTATTATATCGTATTACATATATACAATGTAGTGTGTAGTTTATTAACGATATGATATTCATTATTTTCCTTACATAAGGATGTTTTCATTCGCTACATATTTTATCATTTATATAATTCGTTCCTTTTTCAAAAAAATCTGTAAGTGCTTTTATTAAATCAGTATGTTGTACTAACATTGTTCTAGGTACCTTATATGAAATAAACATGGGTTAGGTACATATTATTTTTAATTGAATTTTTAATCCTATCGATTTTACACAATTATTAACTACACTATGTACAATATATGTATATATATCTTTTAATTAGCTAATCACCTTAAATTGTGCTGAAATTGAACACATTGAACATGAATAATCATGATTTGATTTTATTATTTCTATTTTATAATCTCTATTGACTAAAATTAAAACAAAAGATTAGATTGCATTTTAATTCACTGAAATATACACTAAACAATTAAATGTTCATAGGTAATCTCTGATTTTATTTTTAACATTAAACAAACATTTGAATATCTTAGTTATTTATATGTTTGGTAATAAATTTGACTTGATTTTTTTCTTTTAAAATCAAGTACTTTTGAAATATATGTGTGTTATAAGTTGTGACCGCCGATTAGGAAGCAGTGACTTATCGATCGGATCAATGACGCGTAAACACGTGCGAGCAGTCTAGAGTTCTGATTGGATCTGTTTTCCGCCTAGCCCAGCCATATAAGTCCAGAACTTAAGTCTCAGCCTCTGCGATATGAATCATTTATTTCAAACATACTCGATTTATATATCAACCAGACAGACCACAACGTACTATAAAATAGAAAATAACATTTGTATAATATTTGGCCAACAGGACAATGACACGTGAAATAAAAATTGACCAATAGGAAAATGATGACATTTCAAGTCCAAGGATAGCATTAAACTTAACAGGATAATTTTTGGGATATTTTTCTGAATATCCCAATAATGTGTAAATCCGTTTGTTATTGAAATACGAATAACAGAATGAAAATGATCAATCACAAGTTGTTTAGTATTTTTCTTTTTTCAAGTTTACTAAAGTTAAAATAGGGTACATTCTATTTGTTTATAGAAAACAGAATTACTTAATCAAGATTACTAAGGTATGATTTATTAAATATAGAATATGTATGATGATTAGGAATATCTGAATGATTGTACGAATTAAGAATATTAGAAATCATTCAATTTAATTAAGAAGAACTAGATGAGAACGAACGAAGATACTGTATTTGGAATTTGAAATCAAGTAGTTATCAATTTATAGCAGCACACGTGTAACTAAGTTTGTTCACAATTAATTTAGCCAAGCCCTTTTGTTAATTTATTTAACGGATAGAGTCGCTCGTACACTAACAACTTATCTATACCATTGTACCTTTATTGTTGTTGCACTTGTATGAGTATGTATGCTTGAGCATTGCTTACTGCCTACGCATATATTCATTCTACTAGCTTTACTGTTAGTCTTGTAATTGATTTGTGATTCATTCATTTCCCTATGTCTGTGTTGTATGTACATTTTAATGATGTTCATTGACTCGCCGACTCGCTCACTCGCTTGCTCACTCGTTTGCACGCTTGCTTTTTGGTACTACTCTTTCATGCTTGCTTAGCGTATCAGTAATACTTGTTATATGTGCGTGGTGCAATAATAAACGTTATCAACACTTCGTATTCTCTTTCCGATTAATGCACCGTTGAGGCGTTATCTAGTGACGGTTATCAGGAAGAAGTTTAAGGATTATATTGAATACGGAAAACCACAAAGAATAAAGGAATCATTAGTTCATACAAACATCACAATATGATAATCAAAGAATGCTCATTCAATGAAAACTCGAATGTCACTGTATTTGCTTCAAACATTTTTTTCGTTAGGTGGAATAAAGGATTCAACACCGAATATCTATTGTATCCCATTATATTACTAAGAATTTGAATGTAAAGATTTAAAAGCAGTAATTAAAAACCTCAAACTTCATGGCTAAGTAGAAAATCAACAAAATAACTGTATTTCACTCAATAAAAACGAAAAGGTTAAAAACGATTAAAATAGTGTTTTGGTCGTTTTACTAGGTAGAAACCCAAGTGTTTATTTTTTACTGACTTATGTGGCCTAAATACCATAAAAATATATCAGAAAATACTATCTGGATAGTTCAACAAATTCATTCCTGATTGTTTCCTTCCTATCATTCCATATTTTATTTTGGAACTTTTAATAATGCTTCAACTATCTTCAAATTTGGTCAGTCAATAATTAACTTCTTTAAATGAATTCTATAGTGAGCTAAACAATGAGTGATATGTTTCAGAAGACGAAAATGTAAATTATGTTTTTCGGTGAATATCTCACCACTTCATGCTATGTTTGAATCACCTTCAACAAACTTCAAGTTTAAGTATCATGAACACTTGATTATGAACGGATCAATTTAAGTAGGTAGTGTTACGTAATCAATTGATGCAATTAATCGTGAGTTTATTACATTTTTAATCTATATACCTTGAGCATAGGCTAAAACGATTGGATAGTAACGATGAAATCAAAGGTTTGTAGTAGGCCCATTCAACTGCTGTATTATTTGTTTGCCCACTCTAATTTAGACACTTAATCCACTCTGTCAATTTCTGTGTGAGTCTGATTAAGCACATGTCTGCACATCAACTTTAATTTATTCTCCCATTAGTTTTAATACGCAGACAATCAATAATTTATCCATACTTGATTAACACTCATAAATATGTATGGATTTTTAACACTCATACAGACACATACACTCGTTTTCCCTGTGTCTTGCTTCCTGTACGCCTGTGGATTTTGTTAATCTTTAACAATAAACTATCTCTATAACTGGTGTTCAGGCTTTTGAATAATCGCGAGTAAATCCATAATTCTACTGAGAGATTTAGCCTCCATTAAATACTCAGTCAACGAGATACAATTTATTGGAGTCAGATATAAAGGAAATTAGCCTCCACAAAGTTGGTGAACCGCATTTAGAACTTGCACCATTTCTCTACAAAGTCTGCTGCATATTCTCCAATCATTCACATTGGAATTACTATTACAATTACTAACAATTCATTGAGAGTCATAATAAATTCACTAATAACATTGTTCCTTTGGAAGTTGATGTGCAGACATGTGCTCGATCAAACTCATATAGAAATTTACAGAGTGGATTAAGTGTCCAAATTACAGTGAGTAGATAAATAATACAGCAGTTGAATGGGCCTACTAAAGGTTCTGCCATCAAAATCAGTATACTTATTTATTTTCATATAAACATCGAGTGGTCTGATAAAGTCATTTATCATACACTGATTATTAACACAAAGTTAATGTAATGAGAATTATCCATTATTCTGATCTAACTGATTAAACTGTTTACAGTAATTCGAAAAGAAAATCCGACCATTTACGCTTGCTAATCAGTTTTTGTTGGAAATGAATAGAAGCGCAAGACCACGTTCGTACTCAGTGTTTTTCTTACATTGTATTACTTAGGTTTTTAATTAAGTATAATATTCATTCAGTATAACACACGTTTTTATCTCAGTTTCATATTTTGTTCAGCATACTTCTTATGTAATATGATATTCACTTTAATTCAATGTGATAATTATTTAGTATAACAGCCGCTCGTATTAATTTGGTGTGAATTTTATTCAGTAAACATCTAGCATGCATATATAAAATCAATTCTTATATTCCACATATTTCGGTTATATATGATATCCACCAACTAATCATCGAATTCCAGTAAAGTCGATGTATGAAGTAATGTATATCTTATTTTGGAGCGTGTATGAAATGGTCATCTACACTCAGTTTTAAACCTCTGCTTTGAGTCTAGAAAATCTTACTATTTTCTTGTTTCGAGAGAACCTTTTCTAACAGATACAACAGATTTGACGATTCCATTTCTACTACTTATAATATTTATAGTAGTATAATATGGAAGTCGTTTTGCCCGATTAAATAATTTAACTGTTCAGTCAATGAAGTGATATTCTTCTAGTACTCGACATATAACCTGCTCCACCAAGTAGTCACACAGTATTTAGCGTAGAGAAAAAGATGTATGTATTGCGAATAACCGGTAAAATGGACATACTACTTGAAACCCTAAACTGATATTTCCGAAAAATTTATTTTAATATCGAGAACGACTATAAAAAATACTTTAATTAAACAATATCTGATAAGCATTTGGGTAGTTACTTCATAAATTAAGATTGAAATCTTTTCTCGATACGCTTTGAAAATCATGTCCAGTATTTAAACCATACCGAAAATATGTCTCATTCAAAAATCCTATCCTTAAATGGACTACGACGAAAATCTTGTCTTATCAACGTACTTAAAACCTTTGTCTATAGAAGCATTTATTATCGCTTTTCTTTCAAAGAAAACATTTTGACCATTAACAATATACTGAAAACGGTGAAGCAAATTATCTCAACAGATAATTCATACCAGTACCAACATATTTTTGAAGCGGAATACAGGCAATTTGACATGCAACCTAAATTAAATGGGTATATCAAGGTGTATGAGTGAATCGGGATTGACAAATACACTTGAAGTTTTGATTCATTTTAAGACTATTACTAGTCACTGAACATTCTTGAAGCTTTTTAAATAAAATTATTTATTGTTATTAACAGTGGTTCTTAGTATTGTTCGGCTGAAAAGTGTTTATTATTCCTGATGTGAAGTTTCGTTACTTAATGCTTACTTTTGTATCTTTATACCAAGAATTCATAAACTTCTCAATCAAACGTGTCTATTAAAAGTTTTCTTAAAATACTGTCGATTAAGAAATGGTTATTTAAAATCAATCATCTGAACGTTGTAGGGATTATACATTACGGTATAGTTGTAGGTAGGAAAAATGTTTATCGAAAAAAAGTCATTATTCAAATGAAAATGTATTATTTTTTATTTAGAAACTAAACAAAACAATTCACAGAGATTATCTATAATTATTTCATAAGCCACCGTAAATGTTTGAATAGAAAACATGATTAACGGTTGGTTCGTCTCCAACCGGGGAAAAAAGAGATTTCCTTCTTTAGATATCTTCTAGATTTTACATTAGAGATCTCGAATTTCTGTTAACAAACAAGCTATGATACTTTAGGGACCATACAAAGTTAATGGGACATTTAAAAAATTAAAGCGTTTATTCTTCATGAGATAATTGTCCATCATTCGATATGCTTGTATAATTAAGATAAATAATAGCAAATTTGTTTTTTTTTAGCTGAAATAGATTTCTAATCTGTATCAATTGAATTTCATCGAATCAAAAACAGCTGTAAAAACATGAGATTCATAAGATAATGAACGATTCGTTCTTTTTTTATTATTCTACCATGGGATTAAAAGATTAGAAATAGATTTATGATGTCAATTATGTACATATTAAGAAATATTTCGAAACGATAACAATTATTCACTAAAAACTAAAAGTTTGAGACATCAATGAAAAGCTTGGACAAGATTGCCAGGCGAAACGTTGAATTTACTTCAAATTCTTTCGCTGAGATTTTACAAATGCATTCTTCCTCTTTAATGACTCACATTAACTGGGCGCCCAAATATTGTGAAACTATTCGTTCAAATGTAGACTAAAGTTCTTATTTATTAAAAGGTTTGAGTATTCTGAAAAACATTTTCCAATGAAATCTATTAAAAATTAAATTGTTTTGTTGGCTCTACCATTTTGTTTAGTGATGAAATGTATATTCTTTTTTAAAAAAGGAAGAATTTCTTGTAGTTTAATTGGTGGATCTCGAAGCTGGTCGTTTGAAGTTTTATTTATTATGGAATTGTTTGTAGTGAAAAATATCATCCTAGTAATTAAATGAGTATTGATAAATGATTTGAATATTAGATAATGATTACATTTTTGTTGCATATAGATTTAACTTGAAATTATTTTGTAAGTTTAATTTAATCAAAGAAACAACCGTAGTTTTCTCCTCTGTAGACAAATATGAAAACTATATTTTTTCATTCCTCATGTATCCAAGATATTAATAATTCAATCTATAATGAAGTCTTCAATTTAAGAGCTAAAATTATTCCTAAAAATCAACTATCTACTTATAAGTAACAGCCGTTATTACGATGATTATGCTAAGGATATTTAACTGAACTCACTGTCGTGACAATTCTTGTTATGAGCATAATGTCTATGTCTGAAATTCAATAAACCTCAAAACGAGTGATTGGTAGCACACAATGATCAGATGAACTAATAATTGTTTACCTGATATATGATAATCATTATATTACCCTGTTTTCAATCAATCTTAATTGTAGATAAAATACGCCTGTAAACATGTTTCATAATATGTCTACAGTTTACAACATAATTAACTGTTTCTGAACTCAATGTTCATTTATGTACATCAAATAATCTAGATTAAAAAGTTATCAGATCTATGGTTTCTCTGATTGATAAACACTTTCGTGAGAAACAGCATGATGCTATTTATGTTTAACTCCCTACTTGGTCTGAACAATCATTTTACTACAGTATGACTTAATAATACAAAGAATAAATCATCCACCCAAAACAAAGCCCTTTATAATATTTGTGGTATTACTTAATATATCATCAAGTAATGTCTCCTGAATGACATTTATACAGTGGTTTTTTCAACAACAAAAAAATCAACTCCATCACTTGTTATATTTATGGAATGAATAGAATCAATAACAAGCAACAACGAAAAGAAAAACTGAAATTCTACTAACTCTTGGACACATTTCACTAGATTTTAATGAAAACAAAAGTTGAAAATAACAACAATAAAAAAACACATATCATAAGTTGATGAAAGGAATGCATGAAAATAAACAATTAATCTATAGGACTTAGAGAGCAAAAAAAGTTATAAAAGTAAAGATATTTCATCAATGAAATAATCATATGATTACACGAATAATTGTAAGAAATAATAAGAAACTACTGATATAACTATCAATAATTTATACAACTGTCATTGAAAATGAAAACGAAAGAAAAATATTTCAAATTATCTTTAGTAAAATCACTATGACAACTAAATCATGAATAATAATAATAATAATAAAAACATATAATATATTACTGAAGATTAATTTTCCTTTTAGACAAAATGATTGATTCTAATTTTTTCTTTTTTAAAAAAACATTTTATTCATTCAAAAATGAAAATATTCATCTCTTCATTATTGATCCGGAAAAAATAATAATTTTATGGAATAATTCAAAAAATTAAATTACGGAAACAAAGTACATTTACAATGGAATAAATGAATTACTAACATACTTATGGATTGCTGATATTCGTTGATACATGAAGTTATTATGTAATAGAATTTTGACAAATTCGGCTATGAATACACAATAGATCACGTAAATACTAAATGAAATTATTTTAAAGAAAAACAAACAAACAAACAAGAAAATTGTGTTTACTATTAATCTAATGTTGAGTAAAAAAAATGTTAAAAAGTTACTTGAATAACGTAATTATTCACAAGGAATGTATCAACAAATGCAAATCTAATAAGTCATAAATCTCCAAGTATTATTTCCTGGAGTTCTAGTGAGATCCAGAAAATCGCTTGCAAAAGACAAGAAAGCATCAGGAAATACTAAGAAGCGTTTCATTCAATCAGCGTTCACTTGAAGTCTTAACCAAAAATATCAAGGAAGCGAGACGTCACATGCAGAGGCTCTGATTGGTTGGCTGCTACACTGGTACTATGTTTACTAGCATTTCCATAATCTTCTAGCAACTCAAGGACATTTAAAATATTATAAAAACCCTGTATTTTCTGTATTAAAATGAACCTTGGAGTAAACTACTTCTCGCATACTTTGAGTCTTCTCTCGTGTTCAGGTCGCTGTATATTTCTAGCTTGGGGGTTAAAAAATAGCTTAGGAGACGAATATAGCGTTCAATCCGCAAGACTTATCAACCAAAGGAATTCAGCCGGGTCTGTTGTGAGATAGTAACTCACTTAAGACAATGATGGACAGTGGTGAGATTTCGTGGATTGGGTGAAGTTAGACACTAACACCGTTGGATGCCGGTTCAGTGGTCTAAATGCTGAGCGTATGCACGCGCGAGACTGATAGGTCCTGGGATCAGATTTTGCAAGGCGGGGCCATGGATGCGCACTGCTGAGGAGTTCCGTACTAGAATGAAACGGCCGTCCAGTGCTTCCAGGTTTCCTATGGTGGTCTAGCTTCAATTGACCCATGAATTCAATTATTACAAATGTCAATACGATGTGTATCCGATCAAGTATGAATAAGCTAGTATTAAAGAATAAGAGTTATTGTACAAAAACAAGTGATAAAATATGAAGTACTGTGAGATTATTATAAAATAAATATGAATATAGCAGAATTCTGGAAAAAATACAAGCACAGAAACAAAACACTGCGATATTATTTATCATGGAGATTTTTACGTCACCATTTGAATCAGTTATGGTTGGACGACAATGATATATATATATATATATATATATATATATATATATATATATATATATATGATGATTGTTATCCAAATATACATCCCGGCTACTCTAGTACATAGTTATCGACTTAAATCGCGTTAAGGAATGATGGAATTAAATAAGCTAAATATTAGAACACGTATATTTCAAACAAATGTTTATCCGGACAAACAACTAGAGAAACGAAGTGATGAGCATCAGAAAGGCGAGTGAGCCAACTCAATTTGATCAAGCGTGACTCAACATTTATATTCAGACAAAAATAAGTTTCAGACACGTAACGAATAGAGCTAGCAATCAACACACATACGATTATATAAAAGCAGTTAGAGTTAACAAGCGAATAATTGATAAGGTCAAAGTGTGACTTGAGAAGAACGAATAAATTGATCTGTCCAAAAGCTAGAATAGCCTATGTGGACTTGACATAGTACCAACCACTACAGACTTTAAACGTTTGGATCAACGGTATATCAAAGATCAAAACGAGTGTGTTTGGATATGTACGTTACATCACACAATCGATATTTCATGCAGACAGTAAGAGATTCAGTACAGAGAAAGGTTCTTAATCCCATTCGATTGTAATAAATATGAATCAGAATTAATTGCTAAACAGTTAAAAGGATACTAAAGTCACATAACGAATGAATTACATGATCAGTTGACATAGCAACATATAAAGATCATCGAAATTACAAGTGAATATTTGACAACCCAAAATGATCATAATTTGTCTGTCCAAAAGTTTAAAAAAACTCACGTGAATCACTTCAGTTCCACATCAATGATTGATATTTGTTGATAAAATAATTATTTTACAAAGTTAATATATTTATTTATCACGTTAATAGAACAAATATCAACCAGTTCATTTAAAAGAAATTGAAATAAAGATCAGTTATTTACAAGTTTATTAATAAAAAATGAAAACTAAACAGTTCAACAACCGAACTTCTGAATGAAGAAAGCGGGATTTATGTGATGTTTGTTATTACATCTGTCGTTAAGAGTGAAACACAAAGATATACGGATACTCGATACTTAACAACCTACAAAGAATACTGGTTTACTTTTATTATTGATAGTATGTTATCAAAACCATACATACATGATATTAGCTTAAATTGGTCAATCAGTAATTATTAACGCAGAGACTGGGACAGATCCGTATTGGCCCAAGTTACCACATCACATTAGCACAGTAAGATGAAATTAATAAGAAGTACGGAAAAAGAGACCGAAAAAATACAGTAGAAATAACAATGCGAAAGGGTGAATATTAAGAGATCTGGTTCGAAAAGACATAATGGAAAGGTATGCATTACTAAATACTGGAATTCAGTATTGAGAGGAAAATAAGAAGAAGGAATACATCTCCGCCGTTTTGAACGATCATGAGCAATGTCACTTAAAGTCTTTAGATATTTATAGTCGTTATCGCATGGATCCCAATCAGATACTCTTCATCTACCAACATGGCTCAGATCGACAGTCAATGACTTCATGAACTAGTGCCTTATCCTGCACTAACTGGTCCTACCTTTTTTCTGACTTACTCTTAAACCAGAAAACAGCAACTGTCGAGGTAGATGGTGGTGACCTATGTCGTACCAACCTCAACAGAAAGGATTCATAACTTAATGACCATTGTCTGAATTCATGGAATCATTAATGATGTAGACGAAATATGTATCTAACTTTCCCTATACATATTCCGACGGAAAATCCCGCCAATATCAAAGTGGATATAAAACACCAAATACGAGTGCTTCGGATATTTATATTTTATACGTTCATTTTGTCAGGCACATGTGCCTACTCAAAATATAAAGAAACGTTATTGCAACTCAACAAAGAAAACTAATAGCACAAAAAAGAGACTGGCACTGGATAAAATAATAGTTGTGCAGATATACACACAAGTCCGTCTTTATAGGCGTAGAATTACAAGGACAGGAATACAAAAGGTATGTGTGCTGATGATCACAACGTTTAGGAAACAAAAGGGTTATTAGAATGGTTAAAATGACCTAATAGTCACATGCTGTCTGAGTTAAGTCTGTCTGATAGTTTGGATAAATAATGTCAGTGTACAACAACATATAAGTTGTTACAATAACTTTATCAGTCGGCGAATCATCTAAGTCAAGTTCCTGACGTATAACTTCAACACTACTAACTCGATCGTTAGACGAAAAGCGAAAAATGCCTCAAATACATCTATGATCAAAAAACTTGCACTGTAATCATCTCTTCCACTTCCAAGGACTGTGTTTCACAAACAAAAAGTAATATAGTGGGAATTATTGACCAATATACACTGTTTTTGGTTAGTAAACGGGCATCTTGCCTATACCGTGAGTAAAGAAGCTTACGAAATACTGACTGATCTTTTTGAATCTCTACCAAGACTTTATTAGATACAAATCCGTTAAGACTGATGAGACTTCCATGACAAGCAAAGTGCTTAACCTATGTAACTAATTCACTCCATGTTATTAGTTCTGACTGACTTGTAACTTGTCCATAAAAGTCAATGAAAGAGGCACAAAAAACCATGTTTTGTATAAAGTATGATTCGGAGCATCAGAACAAGTATATCTTACGTGTACAAATCAGCTTTTGATATTACTGAGAGATTCCACAGTGAATTTTCAAAACTTCCAAAATGTCACTTCTAAAGGCTATGAGACGTACAAGAACTCAAAAATTGGTCGAAAAGTAAGAAATTTCCATTCGACATTATCAGTTCATTATGAGAACTTTAAGTAATTAGTAGATTCTGCAACTTCCTGATGTTGAAAAAAAACATTATAGACCAATGATTCTGAAAAATCATAAACAAATTTTGCCTTTTCTCTCAGTGTTTATTCACGCTCGAGGTATTTTATTGTAAGTTATTATACCGGAAATACTTAACGCAAAAACAAATTGAGTAATATTTTATACAAAAACTAAACAACAAAAGATTCATCTCAAGTAGAAGTTTGTATCATCTGACAACGAGTAACGATGGATGTAACAATTGCTTACCAGCTTTAGATTCATCATAAACAATTTTTTCAAACATAAAATATCTAATCTGTAGAAAAAAAGTGATTAACAACGTGAAAAAAGTAAAAAACAACCACTAGAGTTAATGAACTCAATAGAGAATTACCCACCTTAATGATGGAGGCTGATCCATTTTTTGTTATATCAACAGGCATCTGTTTGAGACTACAACCATCAATACCCAGAAATCGCAGAGAAGGTAGCATTCCTAATTCAATAGGAAGCAAATCCAGTGGCTTATTATTTGACAGATACAAATGTGTTAAATTCTGCAGTTTTCCTGAAAAAGTGATTAGAACAAAATATGTGGAAAATAAATAAGTGGTATCGAATATGAAATAACACTACACAACATACAGATTCTCATGCGCTTCTAATCCTCAAGTTATACTTTAACTACTTAATAATTCATAAGTAGTGTACATATTTCTGCATCATTTGTAAGCCTTCGGTTTGCCGAAATTTATTAAAAATAATATGGCTGACGAATTTATGGAGATAACTACCATTCAAACGATATTTTCGGCTTCAACATTCAGGAGGTGTTAGCCCTCAAAAAAGCACTCTTATTTTTACCATTATTACTCACATGACTTTTAGTTTACGTTGATAACATTTTTCAGTTGACATAAATTTAGTACTTACCGATTTCAGGTGGTAAACGTTGAAGAAGATTGTCTTTCACTCTCAGTTTCCTTAAATTGTTCAGATTTCTTTAAAAATTAAAAAAACATACATAAAATAAACTATGAAAGTGAAAAAAAAGAAATGTTGGGACTACTAAAATAATTAAAATTGCTTAATTAAATGGTACTTACGATATTCCTGGTAGTGAATTTTAGGACTTACTAGGCTATGTACGTAAATAATCGGTATATATTAGAAAGAATGGTATGCAAATACAGTCCATTCTTAATTTGAAGTGAGTGAAACGAATAAACATCAGACTAACTTCAAACCGCTAACATAAGCAAATTAACCGAATTATTGCTCATATTGTGTGCTTTCCAGAATGAACGTTAACATAAAACGATACAAATTTCAGTCCGTTGTCTGAGAGATTGGAATCATACTTCGCTATACCATTTATTTGCAGACAATACGCCCCAGTTCCTACACTAAGCAAATACCGGGTTCCAATTAAAGAGTTTTATATGACATGGTACAACGTGGTATTAATTCGACTTTCGCAGAGTACTTATGTTCTTCTTGTATTGTTTATCACAAATAACTCTGCTTATAAAATTGATGACTATTATAACGTATGCTTTCATATCAATGTTGCACTCGAAAATGTCATTGCCCCCTGCTGTACACTATTGACATATTCGTCACTAATGCCCAGTCAAAGTAATTTATGAAATATGTCACTTCAAATAATGCACTTTTACGTTCTAAATATTGTACACGTTTTATAACAACCAGATTGCGCCTGAAAGGTGATGTGCATCCTGCAATTACTGTCGATATATATATATATATATATATATATATATATATAATTATGATGCGCAACTTTCACACTCATTATAGTTTAACGAAAAGGTTAAACTAGTAGTAATGTTCGTTCTCCGTAATTAATGCAGAGCTTCTGTTGCCATTTTACACAACATTATCATATAGCAGTGACTTATTTGATTATTCCACAATGATTATCTCAATATACTCTGGTGACCTTCTCCTTGTTTGGTTGTCTTCAGATATTTTATTAACTTCAAGACTCCTTCAGATCCATTTAATCATTTTGTCCAGTCGACTTCTGATCAAGTGACCTTTTCCAGTTAGACTCTCCTAGGAAACCCTTTTTACTCACAAGAGAGAATTTAACTAAGAAAAATGATTGTCTCTACATTTTATCCTCTTGGTTAATAATTAATTGATTGGCAAAATTGTTTTAACGCAGTAAGTTGACAAAATTTCCTTCGCACTGTTTATAAATTAATAATAATTATAGGTGTGTTTACAAAAAAAATGAAAAAAGTAACTGATTTTTATTGAGATACTCAACAAAACATAAATAGTAAAATGCGAATGTTTATTCATTAAGATACTATAACAGTCTGGTAACTTGGTACAGTACATATTTGCCTAAATAATTTATTATTGATGTGTTTAGGTAAACTAAGTAAATATTCATAAATAAACAGTAACACACATTGCATAATGTTTTTCTATGCCTGTAGGTATCATTACTAGGTTCGACTTGATAATTTCGAATAAATTGAGCAATGGGTAGATTGTTATAAACAAATGAATATAGTTGTAATATCCCAATGAGTAGTAAAATTAAATTTTCTGACGTTTCATGACTCAGTGTAAGCCACTTCCTCACAGAATAAATAACCAAATCAGAATTAATCCAAGTTTAAATAGTACAAACGGAAAAATATTATGTGAATATTATGGGTACATAATATTTTCCCGTTGTTCCTTTGTACTATTTAAACTTGGATTAATTCTGATTTGGTTATTTATTCTGTGAGGAAGTGGCTTACACTGAGTCATGAAACGTCAGAAAATTTAATTTTTCTGCTCATTGGGATATTACAAAAACATTAATTTATTTTTCAATGCTTGTAATCGTTATATATATATATATATATATATATATATATATATATATATATAAACGTAGTGAAATTGGAATATCTTAGAAAAAATAGGTATATCATCTTGTAAAATCCAATATATTGTTTTTTTAAACCAAATAAGTAGGCCATTGAGATCATGAACTGATCTAAGTTAGACAACTATTGAGAACCTGGAGAACGTGAATAGCTATTTCATCCTAGTGTAAAACTATTCAAGAGTACACATCACCGACTTCACAACCGAGAGCCAAACCCAAGACATTCGACACATTGATTTAAATATTAGACATTGTCGTTAGGAACCATAGGTTCCATGTTGTGGAGTATTGGATGTGAACTGATGAGAAAATCCATACTAAGAAGTAACGGTCACTCGGCGCTTCCCAAGTTCCAATGGTTGTCTAACTCAGTTGCGTTTATAATCCTAACCAACTTCAACAATCTCCAACACCCTATACTGACAAATGGACTATATTCTGAGTTATCTGAAATTTAAAAAACCTTTAAAGGATTACTCAAAAAAGCTATCTCATTGTTGATCGGTTTTTCCTACTGGGGTGTATAACGAATGCTAAACGACCCGTTTCATTACTAAAGGCAATTCTCAGCAAAAACTGACACCAGCCAAATAACCGATAAGAACGAAAAAAGCTGAAGAGCTATTTTTCTCTAGTTTGAATTATCTCAGTTTTAAAGAGGTTAGACACGAAACTAATGGCATTCGGTGTCCAGAGTAACTGTAAATTATAAATTAGATATTCATAGATCATTAGCACCGGCGTTAGTTAACTTTAAATGTAGCACTATCCTTTTATAGTTAATTATCATCTCACTCCTTACATTTGTAAGGAGTAAAATTCATATCTTTTCAACATAATATTTTAAAAAACCTGATGTATAATGAACCCATAGAAGATCAGCTAATTATCTCAAAAGTTTGTATAACATAAAAGTGCACTCAATAAATCCTTCAAACTTCATAGTGTAAAGCAGAAGTTCTGTAGCAATATTATAGAATTCGATTATTACAAAGGTAACTAAACACTTTAAAATCATTTCACTACAACACTCAATGCATATATCACTATAATAATTTACTTAAAGTACAAAAAAACACAATAACATGCATTAACGAATAAGAAAAAAAGTTCAATTTTCAGTTTAACGTGTTCTAACAGATGGTTAATAGTGTTATGTAAAATAAATGAAAACAATTTTATTAAAGTATTAAAATAGCTTTAATACATTTGCATATTTATCATAAGTAATTGAGTGTTTATTAAAACAAATAATATAAAATTCTGTAAATAAAATACATAAATTTTGAAATTTTAATCCAACCAAATGCATTTCCGTTTAGTTTACTGATTGTTGACAATAAACCAATACAATTTGAGTAAACTAGTTTAACAATGACAACTAAATAGTTAAAAAAAGTCAACTTTAGTTTACGAAAGAAAAATCTATCCATTTAAGATCAAATGGGAGAAAGTTAGCGACTGACTGATTAATTTATAAAAAAGATAGTTTAGAAATGATACACGAAATAATATGACATTGATAGGAAGAAATTTATTTTATTGGGCATTATAGTAGAATATTAATTGAAACTATCGGTATGGGGTTGTGGAGATTAGTAGGTTTTTGGTTGAGATCATGAACCGATTAGTGTTAGACCAGCATTGAAAACCTGGAAGAATTGGACGGCCGCTTCGTCCTGTTGTGGACGCGTACTGCTGAGGAGTCCCACGATAGGACGAAACGGTCATCCAGTGCTTCCAAGTTTACAGTGATGTTCTAACATAAATCGGTTCATAATCTTATTTAAAAACTTAATTCGAATTGTCAATTTTCAACATCTTAAAATATTATTAATCAAAACTGTAGATCAATTACACTAATAATGAGACTTGAAGAATGTCAGAGAGTATTCTTAGAAAAGTAATATAAAAGTCTTGAACATTTCTGAAAATAATTTTCTAACTATTAACTATACGAAATAATACTGATTTAAATGCAAATAGTATTTTATCGTATGCTTTAGAAGTTAGTATATGACACCGATAACTCTTCTGAAAGCGGACAAGGCAAGCAAAAGTTAATACTTTTGACCAATATTTGAAAGTCGAATTATGTAATTGACTTGAACATATTAATGTGAAAAAGCAAAAAAAAATATAAGCATAGATTCAAATTTTGTTTGATCTACTTCAGCTCTAGCAAATCAATTGTCATAGTTCCTCATTATATTCAAAACATACTTTAAACCTAAGTATACAGGAAAAACAAACAGAATTAATGAACTATAAAATTTAAAACATGACCTAACAGATAAGAGGCAAAATTTATCCAACTGTAAATATTCCACGGCGAATTCATTTTTGGATATCTGATTGAGTATAAATCTACTATTATTAATAATCTCGGCGAGACTCTAATTTATGGACGAGCCAATCAGAAGCGTTTGGGGGATTTCAAGGTTACGGCGTCAACTTCAGTGCTGAATGCTAACGTACGATGGGTTCACAAGGAATTTTGTACAAAACGTGGTAATTGAGCGACTATAACTAATAAAACGGCGAGACTATAATTTATCGACGAATCAATCAGGTATAAGATAACAGATTTCGGATTTGGGCACGAGAGCCTTTCATCCACTGGTATTATAGCTGATGTCAGTCCGTGATGAAAACCCCATATATAATTCCTAACTGAGGCAAATTATTACAATTATCGCGAACTGGATAATAAAAAGTACCAGTAACACTGGCCGCAGCCAGGTACTACAATATATAAGGATGATTGGAGAGCTTATAGACTCCTACATAAGCTTGGTTATGTGCATCGTGTAGTTATCCACAAGTGGCATTTTGTGTACTCAACAACTGGAATACACACAAGCAATATTGAAGCTATGTGGCCGAGGCTGAAAGTTTTTGAGACTTTATCATGGATCCAGAGGCCAACTATTCTGTAGCCAAATGGATGATTTCCTCTACTGCATGCAATACGATTTTAGAACCTCTGAACCTCTTTCTAACTTTGACAAGTTTTTGAACCACATATAAGAACTGTATCCACTATATTTCCTTGGTTTTGTATAATATATTTTTATTCTATACTTACTGTTTGATGATTGACTAGTATTCTCAAGGTCACTTAAAATTCGTTCAAAGGTCGTCCATAAATTAGAGTCTCGCCATGATCTCAAATAAAATTTAATTCATTATATAGTTGGTAGTAACTTGCTGCTCTGGTTATTTATAAATAAATCAATGAGTTATTTACTTGCTTACTTACGTCGATTATCCCTCGTGAAAGGGTATAGGCTGCCCACTAGCATTCTCCAAACAGCTCTATTCTAGTAAATCCTCTCCAGTTGCTGTTCATTCTTTTGATGTCTACTTCAAATCTGGACGAAGTGTGTCCTTTGGTCTTTTTCTTTCCCCCTTGAATTCAACGTTCCATGTTACGGCTTAATTCGTGATGCAGTTTGATGATCTCTGTAATGTATATTCTACCCATCTACAGTGTCTTTTACTATTTTCTTCATCAACTGGAAACTGGTTTGTTCTCTCCGACAGTATGCTGTTGCTGATGGTCTCCTGTCAACGGACGTTCAGTATCTTACGTAGACAATTGTTTATAAATACCTGTACAGTTTTGATGATAGTTGTGGGAGTTCTCCACGTTTCAGCTACGTACAGTGGAGCTGCCGTGACGTTCGTATTGAAGACTGTAACTTTGATGTTGGCTTACAGATAATTGAGTTCGATATGTTCTTCAACTATAAGAATGCTGTTCTGGCTTTACCAATCGTTGCTTTTACATCTGCATCCGATCTATTTTGTTCATCCATGATGCTGTCCAGGTACGTAAAATTCATTAACTATTTCAATAAATTTTAGGAGTTACGTACCGATCGAAGTTGAACCAGTCTAACTTCAATCAGTTTGTGATTTCAATGAAATTCAACAATCCTCATCATCCCATACAGAAAATTTCGGATTTTCATCAAAGCCATAAATCAGCAAATGACTATAAGAATCACTAATTCACAGTTAACTCACCTTCATTTTTACAATCAAGACAAGAATAACTTCGGATATGAAACAAGTTACTTAAACTGTAGATCAAATTAGTCTTTCATTTATATCTTTATTCTTTAGAATTAGTGAATGTGTTGAAATCACTTATTAAGTTCCTTTATACATGTTCATATTTGAAAGGTGAACAAAATGAAGTTATGAAAACAAGACAAATCCATCAAAAGTTTATAATAATAACTCACCCTATGGTTGACGGAAGTCTAGATAACTTGTTTACATCTAGATTAAGTGTTTGCAATTGACATAATTGTCCAATGTTTAAAGGAATTGATTTGATTTGATTGGATTCTAATTCCAATTGTACTAATCTGACCAATTCGCCAATTCTGTTTGGTAATCCCTAATCGATGGAATAAAATGTAAATAAACATGTTTGTACTGTGTTAAATGGAAATGGAAATAACTATCAAATGATTTGAATATACTTAAATTATGTAAATTAAGTCAGACATAAATTCAGATAACATTTCCATATCATAAAAAATTATTCTATTCGATTGTTTACTGTAAACTGTATTTACTAACTGACAAAATAACACTCGAACCAACCTGTTTATTTCAATGTTAATGAACGGTAAAAATTGCAGTTAAACTTAGATAAAAATAGGCTGACAAAAATAAAATTTTTAAGTATACGGTTTATTGATGAGTTACGTATAGGTTGCTTTATTCAAATAATTGACGTAGGAGTAATTACAGATGTAAATAATAAAATCACAATGTGTTACTTATGTTTTAATCATAAGCCAGTGTTAAATTAAAAAAAAAACTGATGCTTACCTACCTGCTTGTTATTTTTATTAACTTATTCATAAAGTTCCATAATTATCACATGACTTAAAATTAATGATATTGCATGAATCTTATTCAATTTGCTGTGTCAGTGATATTATACAGTATACATCTGTAATTCATCGTAACGATGCACGGTGGACAAAAAAGATTAGCATCCGGAGAGATAGTGTTATATTCTGGTCGTGAAGAAAAAAATATTTCGCAAAAGCAACCCTCTGACGCTAGGCATTTCACTTTCACCTGATGATACATACTCTTATATCTGTCGACATCAGTAACACACACCTTATTTAATTACAAACGTTAGTTAAGTTCTATCAAATGTTAGCTATAATATTATAAAAGAAATCATTAAAAACGGTCAGATTAACGTTAAAACAGAGCTACTAATCATAGGATTTGTCAGGTGCTTATATTTATAATGAATATGTACGTTTAACAGATTATATGCTTGGTACTGATCAATTAATAAGCACAGAAGAATTAAACATAAATAAACAAAATGAACATTATACTATAAAATATTACCTCTAAGCGATTACTAGTCAAATCTAATATTTCTAAAGATACTAACTCGCCAATTGAATCAGGTAGGTGACCAATTTGATTATAAGAAAGATCTAATTCAACAAGATGTTTCAATGTTTCTATTCCTTCAGAAAGACAGAGTATAGAAAATATCAACTGATGTAAATGGGAAATAGTAAACAGTTCATGAACTCAATAAAATTGCTAAATAAATAACATAAATATAATCATTTAAAGTATGATTATTAGAATTAGAAAATAAGTCACATTTAAATATGACGTTTAGATAAAAATGAAATTATTATTATAATTACACGATTATACATTAGTGATATCAGAATTTTCCCACAATTCATAATATTGAATATCCTTCAAAATAAATCACTGATCTTTGATGAAAATGTACAAGAGTAATAATTCATGATAAAATTCACCAAATATTGTTATGCGTTTATAATTTGATAAAGAATACCATCTTGAAATGAGAAAAGAACAAATTATCAAATTATTGCTGATTATGTATACAGAACAACATATTTTGTAGATACGTATCAAGATTTTGATAACGATTAGTGCACCAAATACTGCATGTTGTTCATGATAATCCAACAGAACCAATATAGGAGATGTTTCAAATAGAAAGAAACACATGCACTAACATTTATCACATTGATTTCATGGATTGTGTCGAGTCTTTGTTTGAATAACATAATATTACTATGAACAAATAATCGTTTCTAAACAAATTAGATAAATATTTTCTTTTCTTTATTGGCTACTTTTTAATCAGTGTTAAGTCATTAATAAAAAAAGGTTACTGTCTTTCGAAACTTTAATGACGTGGTGTTCATCAATATAGACGTCGCAGATGTCAGGGATCATTGTAAACAAATTTGGGTTCATAAAGCACGATCAACAATAAAACTGTATGTTAATAAATGTTGAAGTTAAAAGACAGAAAGTAAAAAAAGCATAAGGAACATTTGTTTAGAACGTGTGGCTTGAAATATCTTGATGAGTTGTAAGAAATACATATAGTGATAAATGATCACTTTTCGCTTTGTAATAGATGAAATGTAGCTAACAGTGGAATCCATGAAGCAGGTTTCGTCCTGTTTGTGATTCTTCAACCGAGTGTACTTGCACTGACAACGGGATAATCCAAGCCATTACAAACTAACGATTAAAACACTTTTTGATTTAATGTTACAACTAAACAATCGCTTTTCAGTAGTTGTATACACGTTTAACTACTGGGCACAAGTGGTCAGCAACTATTGCCATAAAAGCTTTTGTTATGATTTCTATTGAATTACTGTTTATCATGCAAAGACATCGTTCCGAGGTGGTCAGTTACAATCAAGTCTTAAGTTCATATTTCATATTCAATTTGTCAAATAAATGGAAATGTAGATGTGTTTTGGATGCTCCTTCAAAATTTTAATACCCAAAGTTATTATTCAAATTCTTGATTAGAGTTTACTATCCGTCTTTTCAGTAACAGAAATACCTTTGCGAAAAAGAGTTGACTATTCACATCGTAAATGTAATGAACCACGTGATCATGATTTGCAAACAGCCTATTACAAACAACATAGAGAATTACAGTTATATAGAAACAATAACGTGCACTGACATAATCCAGCAAATGGATATTAAAAAATCTAAAACATGTATTTTCAGAACTATTACTAACATACAGCAAATTAACAAGTAACCTAATTGGTTGTATCTGTAAAATTTGAACAGTTACTCTACGATGTAACCTTTGTGACAGCATCATAAACAAATTCATGACATGTTTTAAAGTAGTTAGCAGAAAAAACGTTTACCTGTAAAGTCCAAAGTAATAATGTTATTGTTGCATAAGTTTAGTGTAGTCAATTGAGTATTTTCTGACAGCTGAACTGCTTCGAATATTTCTAAACGATTATAATCCAATCTGAAATGCTTTAGAAAGAAAGCCGAAGTAAGAAAATAGATAAAATGATGTATGAAACAAAATTTATTCCAGAAAAGATGTTTCAGAAAACAAATCGTGACAAAGTGACGAATTTACTCTGTCCTGGATTCCAATGCTAGCTATCATCCATTTCTGTTTTTTTATATTTTCGTACAACTAGGGCTTCAATAAACTTTAGTTTACGCCTTGGATAACTTTTGTGCAAAACCACAAAAGCTAAGTTAAGATTAGTCTTAGGACCTGTAACAACAACATGTTTGGCGGCAGAGGAAAATGAATTCTTACTGGGTCATTTGATTTTGTTTGCTTCTAGTTATTTTGGTAAATGTTCAGAGACTATAACTTACAAATACCGATTACTCTTATATTTGTATGCATGATCATACGAAAATTCAAACCTCATTTATGTATTCAGAAACAGATTGTTCTCACCCTGATTTTATTCTGGTAATGTCGAGTTATTTTCCAGGGTGATGAGTTTAACACTGTCCTTCAAATCATTTTTAATATTATTATTCTTTTTTCCTCTTACATTCCATTTTTATAGTTGACCTTTTATTTTTCATATGTGTTAAGTCCTGATAAACATAATGACTGATGACTTTGGGATCCTTTTATGGACAAATACTAAACGTATATTTTTATCGCATAATTGTTAAGTAACTAAACTATTCATATTCCTATTCCCCTTATTATAAACTTTATTTTGACCTATGAACCATTATTATACGTTTTACCATTTTAGAATCATGCCCTGTCTATTAGTCACTGCCTCCCACATTCACAACCACATTTGGCCAAATTTTGCATAAATGTTGTTTTCTATTTTATGCAATGTTATGGTCTGTTTTATTGGTATATAAACTCAGTATGTTTGAAATATAAGGATTCATATTACAGAGGCTGAGACTGGTGTTCTAGTCTCAACTGACTGGGCTAGGCGGAAAGCAGGACCAGTCAGGACTCCGGATCTCTCGCACGTGTTTTGCACGTCCTTGGTCCGATCGATAATTCGCTGCTTCTGATTGGCGGCTTTGGGCTATAACAATATGTGAATGTTCTTACTGAGTAAACACATGATCATATTTGTATGTATCATTGCCAAGGTTTGATTTGATAATTTCGAATAAATTGAGCATTGGGTAGATTGTTATAAATAAATAATATATTTGTAATATCCCAATGAGTGGAAAAATCTAATTTTCTATTAATTGGGATATTACAAATATATTATTTATTTACATGGTCATATTGTTCGAAATGTATTGCGTTTATATATACATAATCCTAATAATCTTCGTCTTCCTACTACACTATCCAAATATATCAAAGAGATTAATTGCTTTAAAAGTAAATACTTCAACTGTGTTATAACAGACTTAAAATACTGAAAATAAAGATTTCCATAACACCTAAATTTTTTCTATCGAATAAACTCTGATAAAATAACTAAAACTAGTAAATTCAATAGTTATTAACTTAAAGAAATTGTTTGAATAATTCCAGACAATAAAACTTATTTTTGATTGAGATCATGAACCGATTGGTGTTAGACTACCTTTGGAAACCTGGAAGCACTGGGCGGCCGTTTCGTCCTGTTGTGGGACTCCTCAGCGGCGCGCGTCCACGATCCCGCTCGCGGGATTCGAACTCAGGGCCTTCGGTCTCGCGCGCGAACGCTTAACCTATCGGACCACTGAGCCGGCATCCGATGTTGATTGATAATCCAGCGAGCGGCACCATGGATGTGCACTGCTGAGGAGTCCCACAGTAGGACGAAACGGCCGTTCAGTGCTTCCATAGGTGGTCTAACATCAATCGGTTCATGATCTCAATCAAAAACTTAATAATCTCCACAACCCCTATACTAACAAAACTTATTCTATAAAATGATTCAGGTTAAGATGCTGCAAATGATTTATTATGTGAAATATTAATCTTTCATGCCTTATGATCATTCATTATTGTATCCATTTTCAAATTAACTACTAATTTCAGAATTTAAAACAAAAAAGTACAGTTGGATTCCATATGATTATTTCTAAGAAAATATATTTAAGCAATTTAAAAAATATTTTGATAAAAAAGAAACTTCGAAAATGTATTATCAGTGTGAAAACAAAAGTTAAATAAAGGCACATATGTACTTACCTTGACATTTTTATACTGAGTTTTATCACCGATTGGGAAAGAATTGAAATCATTACGAGATAGTACTACAGAAAGTGAATCTTTTAAATGACACAGTAGATTTTCCTATTCAATTAAATATACAGAAAAAGATAGAAAGAAAAACAGGTTCTAATCGTAAACAAGCCAAAGAAAAAATAATATTACTTAGATAGTAGAATTAGTAAATGAATATAGATTAATTATAATGTATGTCTCATAGTCAACGTCATAGTGTGATCTCAGTGAAACAGACATTGGTAACTTGAAAGCATTGGGGAGTTGTGTTTTCGTTGTGTGGGATTGTTCAACAGTGTGCATTCACTACCCCAATGCTGAGGATAAATAAATCAAGCTCTGAATGAACGTTCCTCATGCTTTAATGTGATAGATGTGACCAATTTTCTATGGCTTTAAAATAAAAACCGAAGCTTTTAATTTTATGAAAACATAAATTACTGTTTAGATTATTTAATAACTGTACCTATCCACGTGTAACAAGCTAAAGCATGTAAGTTTTTCAAAATTTCATCGATAACATTGTTTTTGCCATCTATGATATGAAGACAGAACTGCGAGTTCAAAGAAGTATGTTGAAATCCTATCTTTGCCATAACCTTAAATTATTATCATTACATTTTATTTCGTATTTGAAAATACCACCCCACCTCTTAAATTATTTCTCATAACCCCACGATTTTATTCATAATTATTTCTAACATCATTTTATTTTACTTAACCCCTCTATTATCTTTAATTATTGCAACAATAATACATTTTATTTATCTTACTCCATTCATATTACAAATCAGCTGCTAACTTATTTTTTCCTCATTTTTTAACCATCAGTCAGGAAAAAGGTGTGATCAAAAATAATGATAAAGGAAACCAATAAATGAAACTATGGGAAAGGATAATCGTCCATATTTTCCAAAGCTGTACAAAACATAAAGCAAAATCAGTAAGTGTTTAATGATTTTCATCTGCAACCATATAATTATGATTTTTTTTACAGAACTGTCTAGTTTATAATTGAAACCGGAAATGCCTATTAATATCATTGTGTTTAATGAAATGAATCATTAATATTATGTAATAAAAAAATAAATTGATATAAGGTACTCAAGAAGTAACCACAACAATGAATTTTCTACTTATCGATAATCAATTAAAATGTAATAATGCAAGTGACTGATTGGTGTGGAAACAACCAGCAGTATGTAGAAAGATTTATCGACAGTGCTATTCGAATAACTATCAGTATAAGGCTATGGAGGTTGTTGAGTTTTTATTGATATAAAAAAGCCGATCAATGTCAGACCACCAATGAAAACCTGGAAGCACTGGGCGGACATTTCGTCCTAGTCCGGGATACTACAGGAGTGTTGATCCACAATCCAACCGATGGTACTCAAATCCAGGGCTTTCATGTTCGATATCTATCGTATAATCATAATGTCAATAATATCTTTAAATATGTCGTGATGTAATTTACCATCGACAAAAATGCCAAACGAATATTTTATGACTTTCTCTGCACTACTACTTACATATATACTATACAAGATTACATTGCATGGCAGTACAAACAAAATTAAGCAAACTGACCGGTAGCTGAGTTATATGATTGCCTTCAATATTCAGTTCGGTTAAATGCTCGCAATTACATATTGTAACTGGGAGTTCACTTAAGCAGTTATATCTGAAATATAAAAATACATTTTTGTTGACTAGAGATAATGAAGTTTAAAAATAAATATAGGACTAGTTTATATTTGAGTAATAAGAAAGTATGAATTGCCAACTACTTTTATGTATTCCATGGAACCATTAAATGGTAGTCACATACACACATGCATATAAAACGACTTCAAGATGAAGAAATTGTACGATTCAATTATATATCTGCTGTATTTGTGTCTAACAAATCTTTAGCAAGTATACCTCTGTGTATCGTTAATGGAATATTTTCTAAATACTAGCCAAGTTTTCGTGGCACTAACTTGATATCTCAAGAATGAAACAATCACATGAAGTTGAAGTTTTCGCATTAACTTCACACTTCAATAAAAGACATCTAGAGCTACATTTTGTAACAGCGGAATGTTTATCAACAGTTATGTGATCATCCAATTTTAGCTAAACTTAGAAGCTTTAATAGTGATCGAGAGTTTTCATTGTTACAGGTTCGGCAACTATACAATTGACTGATTATTGAACAGTGATTAATGCTATAATTATTTAACCCTTTAATTGCCGATTTGATTCCATCGATTGAATTGTATTGAAACCAGTAGTCTAAGTAAAGCTGGCCGAAGTGGTTTTGAATCTCTAAAGGAATATCAGTTCCTTCAAGATAGCAGGTACATCCAACTGACGAGTGTCAAGTGGCACAAAACCTAGGTCCAGAGTTTTCTGCCAATAATTTCCAATCATATAGCAAGGCGGCAGTGTTTATTTAAATGAACAAAATGACAATTTTTTGTCAGCTAACAATTTAAAAAAATCTTTTACGTGATAAAAAATATCATCTTTCTGAAACAAAAATCATGACAGTATTAATTCTTTTCCTGTATTACCGATAACTTTATCTTCACTGTAAAGATACGATATCCGAAAACTTGAAGTGTTAGAGAGAATATTTTTAGACCAAGATTAAAATATTGAAGGTATTATTTCCTTTGAGTTTAATAAGATTACTTGAAGAATATAACTCCTTCAAAAGGTATCACAAAACACATGTCAAAAATAGATACCTGAAATCAGTCACGGTGATACAAACTTTGATTAATTTTATTCGTGCTCATTATATCTGCAAAATCTAATTATGTAATTATGAATTTCTGAAATCTTGGATATTTTTAATCTTTTTATTAAGATAATTTTAATAGTTTCTTTTAGCTGGTATAGTGATATTAAGTGTAACAAGTTAAATTTCTATTGAATTTCTGTCCAATAGGCTGATGGATTTCATTTTGAGAAATAATACAAACAGTTTAATTGTAAATGCACATCTTTACAATAATTAAAATATAATAAGGGTATGATATTAACATAATAGGTTAAACTTTCACAATATATTCACAGTCTTAGTCTCTTATTCAACTCATATAAATAAAACAAACTTTATGTAAATAGAAAACAATCAGCAAAACTTCTAAATATAAAATAATCGCACAAAGAGAATACAAACTGAAAACTATAAATGTTTTCATACAAAACAAATAACGTATTGATCAAAGTTTAATATGTGCTCTATCTTATTCTGACTTGATGATAAAAAGTTAATCTGCTAATTGTTAAGACTTAAGAAAAGTGATGCGTCCAGTCCGCTTGTGGAGTAGTAGTAGTAGTAGTAGTAGTGTGGTGTATGCTATTTATGTCGACAAACATAATTATTATGCAACATCAGTCGGAAGTGGAGAACCTGGCAGCAGAAGGCTAAGAAGATTGAGTTGAACAGAATAAAAGGGAAAATAGAAAGGCATCGTGAACTGGAAATTTCATACAGAATGTGAGGGACAAATAATGGGAATTTACAAATCAGGTATTTAGTGTATGCTTCTCATATTTACCAAAAGATTCTGTAATTTTGTATCTAAACACCTGTGTTCTCATTCACAACAGTAGTAGTAGCAGTATACTGATGTGTTGTAAAAACTGATCATTAACTTGTGAAACTTGAACCCTTGAATACTTGAATAGCTAAGTAAAAAACTACGAATAAAAGAATATTCAGTAGAAAACTTACTTAATTCCTAGTACCGTAAGTTCTGAAAGTTGACCAATTGATTTTGGCAATTCATCTATTTGATTATAATCCACAAGAAAACGGGATAGCAATTTACAATTGCCTATATCTAATGAAAGAAAATAAGAAATATGTTGTTCACATTTAAACTAACTAAATTTATTTATATAAACTATTGATGAACTAATTCATTAATTAGTTAAAAGACAGTCGAACTATGTCCCATTTCAATTAATTTTTGTATTGGTTGATTCAATCATCCCATTGATGTTCAGGACTGCAAATGATTAGTCTCTTATGGGAATACGTACATCCATCTCTGCTAACAATACATGTGTTCCATTTTGTTCATCATGCTTTTGTAAATCATACGGAGCAAAAATAAACACAAGAAAAAATTCCTGCAATCATTATTATATTCATCTATTTAAATATAATTTTACATTGATGAAATAATGATAGGATTTATTTTGACTGTGATTATGGTGTACTCTCAGTTCTTTCTATCTAACCAATACTCTTCTTAACTAGATTCATTATTTTAAAACCATGAATAGTGATATCGTTCTACGACAAAGACATAATTATAACGTAATATGAAATAATTGCAAAAGAAATATCATATGCATAATACTATGCTGTCAAGTAATCATGGAAATTATATAAAAGAGTTTGTAGACATTAGTAAGTTTCAGTTATAATCTGTTATCTCAATAGACGTAGTTTATAAAATAATAATTTTATCTTGGTGGTGTTTTGTTCTCTGAGCTGGATGGTTTAGTCGAGAACAAAACACCACCAAAATCATCCACCTGAGCTACAAATCTTCTCCACCATCTCAATAATTTTATCACTTATCTTTACTAAAATGAGTAGAATGCTGAGTTACTTGACCTTGAGTACAACAATGTGTTGTGGTACTTTTTCAGAAGACTTAATTGATCCGAATAATGTAATAAATTAGTATCACTGTATTGAACGAAAAATTATATGCTCAATGTCAAGTTTCAACGTATTATTTACTGGTATAAAAGCTTGATGGAATATTAGGTTGCAAAATATTATTGAATGGCCATAAATATAGCTAATTTCGACTGATTTTGAAGATTGTCTTCTTTATGTACTAATATCATCTGAAGGTTGGACATACATACAATTCCATACCTACTCATTAGTCCATAAGTATTCTCTGTTACATAAAAAATTCTGGGTTCCATTCTGTGTAGATTTAATATTATGTAGTTTCTAAGAGTTCTCGATTTTAAGTTAATCCATGATGAATGAAATTAATTTTATAAAACCGCTCAAGTAAACTTCTAGAAAAAGTTCCAATGTTATTTAGCGTCATTAATTCATTTGAAATCAATCATCTTGAAATTTATGTAATACTTTAAGTTGAAAAACTAATTGCCTTTTTATTTCTTTCAAAAACTCAGAGTGGAAAACATCAGTTTTTGGATTTTCTTTTTAAAGTAAGTACTTTCTTGGTATTTCTATACATCAAAACATTTGATTGACATTTTTTTCAAACACTGTTTACTAACTTGTTATTATTAATTCATATATGTATGAAGATATTATGACAGAAAAATATAATTTATAGGAAACATTGGTGTTTTGCAATAAAAAGCACTCAATTGTTATTTTTATCAGTTAATAATAAAAGAAAACTTTTAAATTGACCCAAACAAAAAAAGTGCATATAAGTGCTGAATAAGTTAAATAACTTTTTCTAGTACGGGAAACTCATTTTTATCTGAAAATACTATACTGATTAAGATCGTTTTTTATGTAATGGAGTCAACTTCGACTGACCATTAAAAAAACTGGAAATGATTAGTCTCAAACAGTGTATAGAAACTTTGAAAGATAATAAGGTAGATTTGAAAAGTGTATAAAACAGAACCAGATAACAAAATGAACTTCGTAGCTGATCATAAACCAGTTCAATATACAAAAGTATATATATATATATATATATATATATATATATATATATATATATATATATATATATAAGTTAGTAATCAAGGACTAAAGTATAATATACTGACGACCTTAAGCCACTTATCAGTCAATCAGGAAACACTGCCTTGCTATAAAATGATTAACAATAAAAAGCAATAAAACAGTGGAATAGTGGTCTTGATCTGATTAATCATCCTTTACACGTTAAAGTGTTCATTATATTAAAGTAACAAAGTCTATATATTAGGAGTTAGGCTAGGGTTGTGAGTTAAGGTTATAACACTATAGGGTTTTCATCCACAACTGATAACAGCTATGTTACAAAATGGCTGTCGTCAGATAATAGAAGTCAAACTAGAATTTCATATTATGGTTACATATTATGGATATGGTATTAATCACGAACCGATGTTAGTTAAAGTACAGTGATGTTTTACTAACCTTTTATTTACAAATTTAGGAAACTTGACGTTGAGATTTAAATTCAGTAAAGAAAATACTGCTGAATCATACTAATTAATTAAAACAGAATCTGCATCAGGAGTTGGTATTTCATGTGTTTTGGCTTAAGCGCTAAATTCTGTTCATTGTTCGATTGCCTATTACACATTTTTATCGTTTTCAAGCATCTCATAAACAAAATATTGTCAATTTTTACTTATGTCATAACAACATACAAGCTGTCTAGCACTGCATCTTACTTTCACGCAAAAATGTCCGAGGTGCTATGTCAATTCTGATTAGTTTACTCAAGGCCGTGAGCATAGTACACTTTTTACTGAGTGCGTACTAAATCAAAAATATAGAGCACAGAAGATATTTAACTAATACTTTGCTGTACTGTCATCTGAAAGCTATCACCAAGCTAGTAAAACATAGAAAGTAGAATGAAAATTACCCATAGAATTTTTTAATACGCAACAATGCCTTATTAGTACAGCAGATCTTTGGAAATTCAATTTACCGACTATATTCCAGACTGATTGTTACCTACAGATCGATCACTGGTAGAGTGGTGAATACTCACTCCTGCGAAATCCTGTATACCAAAAAAATAGCAATGTGATCCCTTTCTGTTTTCCATGATTGTCTAGTTAAACCCAGACCATCATGTAAGAAACAAACAATGGATTACTTTTCATACAACAAATTATTAATGGACTTTAAGGGTTAACTGGAAAGATAATAGAACGTCATCTGAATGATACATGATTACTAACAGTCAAACTTTAGCTTCCGACTACTGATTACCTTTCACTATAAACTATACTTCTTTGTACATATATCTAGTGTAATTAGGAGTGAAATTCATAATTCATATGTTACTTATAGTGAACAAAAACCTGATATTCAGTAACGTATTCTTGTTTACTTTTCATATTCAATATTATATTACTCAATTTTTATCATTTGAAAAAACTCTCGAGATGGGACAAAAACCTTTAAAATCTAAGAAATAATGAAAACTGGTATTATTCTGTATTTGGTTAGAAACATAGGGTAATGAACCTAAAAGAAACCGATTTTTCAGAACTTTACGTGAGTGTTTTATACGAGTTGTTTTACTTGTGTATTAATCAAAATGAACTTCGTACACTGATAACAGTAATAACAATAATAACCATGGCGAAGAAAACACGATATCACCATTGAATGTCTATTCAAACATAAATATTTAAAATCTACTATTCGTTATACATTTGATACTTCAGTGCCATAATATGTACTTAAGACTATTTAGAAAAAAAAACAGTTTTCAGGTAACTGAACACTTGAGTTAATGAGTACTGGTAGTGATTATGTTTTGAAGTGCAATTACAAGCCATGGAAGTTGTTAAGAACATTTATATGAATAGATTTTTACAGTTTTTTTTAAAAAAAGTGCAGTAAAGTCTTTCATTCTATTATGTTCTTATTGTCCACTGTATTAGCAAACAATTTTACAATCAGGGTATCATGAAAACTGGAACATTTAAGCTTAATGAAAAAAAATATGGTAAAGCTTTAAATACAATAAACAAACTTGACATTTAATTGTTATTGTTTTTTTTAGTTTCACTCAACTTTGATCATGTATATGCAAACATTACCTTTAAATATATAATAAACCTCTTAGTAAGCGTTCATAAACTTGTATAAACTACAAAGAACAAAAATCTCATAAATAATACAACAATTAGTAAATTCATTCATAAGATACTAGGTAATTGAAAATAATAATGAAGTTCCTTTGTATAAATTAAATTATATCAGACATAAGTCTGTTTCTCAAAAAATAATGTACCTCACTAGATAAAATCATCATTATTATTAATAAATTATTATTACTGTTATTTTAATATTATTTAACTCAGGTTTCCAGTTCAAAAATTTTGTAATCAAACAATAAGTTAGTTTCTGTTACAGGATAACTTTAACTAGTCAATTACTAAACAGTAGAAAGAGCTGGACAACTGTTTTTCACTAGTTTTACACTTCTTATTAGTGTACAACAATCACTATATGTGTGACTAAACCCACGATCTTCAAGTTTCATAGTGAAAAAGTTACTTTTAGATCATGTAGTCAGTAAGCAGTGGTTTGTGTATCCAATCAGTGAATTCCTGATATAGTGCGATGATTATACAATGTCAGTAATGATTCCTATCACACTCGAGACGTGACGGAACCTGGTTATGTCATCTGGTTCAGGGAAAGTAACACCACTAAACGTAATCATACACAACCTAAAACATAGAATATATGAGCATCATTTAAGATGTCACACTAAACCAGCACAACGAGATTAAGTTATCAAGACAACTGCTAGAGTAGTAGGAGAAGTAACAGTGTCGATCATAGTTATAAACATTAGACATAGATAATATGATTCTATGACAAGGAATTAATTAATGTTCAACAATTTACATTCAGTGGTATTTTGATAGGGAAGACTGACTCTCCAAACAGTAATTCATAAATTTTTAGTTTTTCCTCGCATATATTGTGCTGAGATATTAAGAGTTAATTATAAGAACTTACGTCGGTAAGACTATAATTTATGGACGACTTTTGAGTGACGTTAAAGTGACCTTGAAAATATCCACCTACTTACTGGGGCTAAATGATGGTTATAAAGCAGTGTGAAGAATAATGATTAAG